CTGGGTCCCCCCCTGCCCTACACCGCTCCACCGCCCCTGCCCCAAGCCTGTAGCGCTGCCGGGGTTGTTGTGGCCCAAGGGCAGGACCTGGCCCTTGGCCTTGCTGATGCTCACGTCGTTGCCATTGGCCCCTGGATCCAACCTGTCCAAGTCTCTCTGCAGACCCTCCCCACCCTCGTGCGGATCAACACTCCCACCTCACTTGGTGTCATCTGCGAACTTTCTGATGATCCACTCCATGTCCTCGTGAATAAAGACGTTCAACAGAAATGGCCCCAACACTGAGCGCTGAGGAACAGCCCTCGTGAGCGGCTGCCGGCTGGATGAACTCCACTGACCACCCCCCGGCAGTGCGTTACCCAGCAGATCCTGTGCTCACCCAAGCCGTGAGCAGCCAGTTTTCCCACAAGAATTCTGCGGGGAACAGGGTCACGAGCTTTTCCAAAGTCTACTTTGTAGGAGAAGCTCCGTGAAGCCACACACCAAAGGCAGGAGTTGGCCTTACTCTCCCTAATTCCATCCTCTCCCCCAGGAAAAGGCTCTAGAGGAGCTCTCAACGGTAAGATTTATTCGCAAAACCAAGCTTTTGCTGTGAGTTGGACACCCGACCTTCCTCGATTTCCACAAATTTACTCACAAGTGTTCTGGCTCACGAGCAATTATTATTCAGCTTCAGCGAGCAAGAGTAGTAACTGCAAACCCATGGGTCTGACTCCTTCTGGTGTTCCCAGCCCCGATGGTGAAACCCTTGGCCTTAAAATCAAGGTTTAATTAAAGCAGCTCCCAGGTGAGCAGCAACATGGGCAGCTTCTGCTTGGCAAATTACGTCCCTTCCCCCTCCAAATTCTCTCTTTCGCCCGTTTTAGGACTCAAATTTACAGAACTGAAACCAAACTTGGATTAATTTCTCTCGGCAAAATAAGTTCCAGCGCCCTTTTGGCCACCAGCTGCACAGAGAAAAATCACAGCAAGATTTTCAGACCAATGCAAGCGGCTGATTTTGTGCTGCTCACTTCCTACAGCTTTATTCTAAATCGGAAAGAAAAAAGGGGAAAAAAAAAAACCCCTAAACGAGGTGGTAAACGAGCTAAACACGACAGGGCAGTAAGAAACCTTTTTGCAAGCAGGGGTGAGGAGGAGGGTGAGGTTTCGTACCGCTCTCGGCGAGGGCAGCGGCCACTTCGTTCAGAGTGGAGTAGATGTTGCAGGCAGCCCACCGGCACTGCGCCCCCAGCGCGCCCAGAGTCTCCATCAGCACCTGGATTTAAATGAACAAACCAAAAAAAACAAAACCCCCAAACCCCAAAATCAGAAAGAGCCAGGACTTTCATTCCCTCTCTATGGGAAAGTTCGGAGCAGGGGGGGGTTGAACCACCTGAATTTGGTTTTAAGCAGCATCGAGGTGATGGGAGCGCTGCAGGGAAAGCAAATCTGTGATTTTCTAATCTTTTTGGTTTTCAACTTTAAATGGATGAAGTCAACAGGAGCTTCAGAGGATAGTGAATAGGCAGCACATATAGGCATGTGGGTGTACATAAATATAAATATATGTGCGATTTCTGTCAAAAAAGTCAGGAGAAAGGACTCCTGCCCCGTGTTTGGAGGAGAAACCACAACTCTTAAGTTGTGTAAGTGCTCTGATTGCCGACCATCACCTCTTCCAGCTCATAACATCCAGATAATTCGATTTCCTTAGCTCTCTCTGTTCCAGCAACACCTTATAGATACAGGCACCACGTCACTTCGGAGCACAGGCTCTGCTTATCTAGAAACGGCCACAAACTCGACCGTTCTCTTTTTAGGTGGCCCCAGGAGCCACGTCTCTATGTCAACAGCTCGGGGGTCTCTTTTTATTTTTATTTTAAGAGGGAAAATCCCCGTGCAGAGGTTACGGAGGGGCTCTTACAGCTGTCTGCGCCGTGATGTGCGTGCAGCCTACGATCTTGGCTCCGGCCAGCGGCTTCTCGCCCTGAGCTCTCTTCCTCAAAGCCATCAGCGCGGGCATTTCTGAAAGGCGAAATGAATAAATAAATTAAAAATATATATATATATAAAAATAGA